AGTGGAACGCCCCATCTTGGCAGTAGATGCGGCAGAGGCGGAGGAGCAGGAGATCGCATTCTTGCAGGAAGGTGGGTGAGAAGAGGTGTAGTCCAGGTAGTTGTGGGAGTCGGTGGGTTTGAAATAGATGTCAGTTTCGAGGCGGTCACCAGAGATGGAGACAGAGAGGTCCAGGAAGGAGAGAGAGGTATTGGAGATGGTCCAGATGAGTTTGAGGTTGGGGTGAAAGGTGTTGGTAAAGTTGTTGAACTGTTCAAGCTCCCTGTGGGAGCACGAGGCATCACCAATACAGTCATCGATGTAGTGGAGGAAGAGATGGGGGACAGTGCCAGTGTAGCAGCGGAAAAGGGACTGTTCCACGTATTCTACAAAGAGGCAGGCATAGCTTGGGCCCATACAGGTTCCCATGGCCACCCCCTTAGTCTGTAGGAAGTGGGAGGAATTAAAGGCAAATTTGTTAAGGGTAAGGACGAGGTTAGTTAAGTGGATGAGGATGTCAGTGGATGCCGACTGGTTAGGCCTGCAGGAGAGGAAGAAGCGGAGGGCTTTTAGGCCATCCGCGTGGGGGATACAAGTGTACAGGGATTGGACGTCCATAGTGAAGACTCTAACTTGTGACAGCAAGCGCAGGGGTGGGAAGAGAATGGTACAGCCACAGCACTGGGTGGCATGACACCCAGTGGAAAAAGAATTAATTTCAATGCAGGAAGAAGTTTGTAGACCTTTCCAAGTCAGCAAAGTGACATGTGATGACAGAAAATAATCCTTCTCCTAAAGATATAACAGAGACGACAAAGCCTTTATCATCCCAGAGGTGCAGCTAATCGCATAAGAGTGTAACCATGTCAGTTTAATGCTCTTTACAACAGTGATTTCATGTCAAAATGAAACATTTAATTGAAGGCAAAACTCTTTGAAACTACTTGAGGTCACAAAAGGCATAAAATAAGCACATATCTTTACTTCACCTTCTCCTTCAAAAATTATCTAGCACTCAAAACCTGCAGTGCAGGTTAAACATCGTTCCCTCTGGGGAAATGCGATGAGACAAGCAAAGGTAATTCTACCACAGTTCTGCAGACAATAAAGGAGCAGGTCTGTGTTGCGTGAAAAATCCGATTGGCACAAAACTCAGAGAAGCATCAAGTTAGAGCAGAAGGGACAGTTCCATTATAAACACCTACACCGTCACTGACCAGTTCCATTATAAACACCTACACAGTCACTGACCAGCTCCATTATAAACACCTACACAGTCACTGAGCGGCTCCATTATAATCACCTATACTTTCACTGACCGGC